TGAAGTGTGGCGCCCAGAACTGGATGCAGAACTCCAGCTGCGGCCTGACCAGTGTTGCACAGAGGGGGAGGATCACCTCCTTGGATCTGCTAGAGATGCATTTGTGGATGCGTGACAAGGTGTGGTTGGCCTTCCTGACTGCATCCCCACACTGCCGGCCCATGTCCATCTTGGCATCAATGATGACTCCAAGATCCTTTTCTGCCTCTGCACTGACGGGAAGGGAGTTCCCCAACCTGTAGGTATGCTGCTGGTTCTTCCTCCCCAGGTGCATCACCTTGCACTTGTCAGTGTTGAATCCCATCGTATTCTCATCTGCCCACCCCTGTAACCTGTCTTGAACCAAACAAATCTACTGAGCCACTACTACAGAAATCGTGCTATATTTTAGGTAAGGAATAAATACATGAAGAAGAAACACAAAAACAAAACCTACTACTTTTCATTAGTGGATCTAAAGGTGCCTTACACTAAAAGAAATAAGTATCATTATAGGGATATGGAGGCATAGGATGACAATGAGATTTGTCCAAGTTTTCCTAACAGACTAGTAGCAGAACCTGGGAACAGAAATATGGTCTCTCATGTTCTAATCTATATGCACTAGGTTAGGCTACCTCCACATGCTGGAGTTGAATTGTATCATTAGTGAAAAGTCTGTTAGTGATGCTCGGAGAGCCTGTGTGTCTGTTCAGGCTGCAAATTTCAGTACAAGTTTTTCTTTATACATAACACAGAGCAAGTACAAGACATGAAATCTATTTATCCACACAGAGTTGAAAGTTAAAGCCTTTTCATTAAAGAAAGGAAACATGATTTTAGTGCACTTTTTATCTGACAGAATAGGCTTGCTGTACAGTGTTGAGTTTGAACATCTTCCTTTCATAGCATTCCCAACAGACGGGGAAAAAAAAACAACCTATCAAGCTCATAAGTGTTCAATACCTTTATCAAGAGAAGCACCAGCCATGTGGTAAAAGCTCAAAGCAGTGTCCACATCATTTATATTCTTCAGGAAAGTAAAGAAATTTTCCACTTCTTCAAATGTCAGTCCCTAAAATAGAGAGAATATTTTGACATATGGTTAAAAGTGATAAATATATTTTGAGATAAGGGAAGGGAGCAAGGGGGGGAGACAGTAAAAGTAGGTAGAACCTAAATGAATAAGAAAATCAAGATTGCACATGGAAGACTCAATGAAGAGATGCACTGAAAGACGAATGTAATACCATGCTCCCCAGTGACAAGAATATGATCAGTGCACATAAAACAACCAGAGACTTGCTACAAGCACATCCATTTATATTCTCTCTCTCTCTCTCACTCTCACACCCTGAATTAATCATCACACCACTGCTAATGCCAGTAGAACTGCATTAGTGCTGGAGTATCCAAGAGAGTTTCAGAAACTCGCCTATCCAGACAACCTAAGCAAACCTATATCTGCTCAAATCAGAGTTCAGGTTTCTGTCTCACCACTTTACCCATGATCTTTGAATGTGTCCCTGACCGTGATGAATCATCATGCCAGGTTAAAAAGGTTCCTCTCTATCTGATCTAGAGAGGCAGAATTCTAAAAATGGGGTAGTTATAAAAAAAATGCATTTTCAATGGCTATGAAGATAAAATGGCAAAATGAGTATGTTCAGCTGGTGTTTCCAAATAAATTGCAATCTCTACAGTAACAGTGCCCAAGATACCAGTAACTTGATCCATGAAGGTGTTTTAGCAAGGGCAGAAGTAACTATGGGACTTATTTTGAAATTATAAATACATTTTGATAATTTTCTTATGGAGTCACAATTTCTTTAGAGATCTAATTACAGGCCTACAAGCTTGCCAAGGTGTCGTTTCATGATTTAGGTAAAAACAGAAGGCACTTAACCAGTTCAGTCACCAGAATTCTTTGAGATTGATTGCATGTATTCACTTCAGGTCACTAGGCCCAGAGATATTGCCAGAGGGATCCCCCTTTGGGTCATGTATGCACCCAAGGTATCTTTGTGCACTTAATGAGGAAACACTGGGCTGTACAAAACTAATTGACGTTCATTTTTTCTCAAACATGGAGCCAACCATGAATGTGAAGCAGAGGGGAGGGGGATCAGATAATGGAAGGCACACTGCTCAACAGCTCAAAAATATCCAGTATGCCTATACTAGTGCACAAAGCCTAGAGCAACTATGAACAGACTCTCAGACTGGCACCCTGCATAGGTCCATAATGGAGCTGTTTCCAAAAGATGGCTGGGCTTTAACACGGGAATCTCAGAGGGGAATGCAACAGAGATGGGTACAATTTAAGGTCCACTATGAGTATTTCTAAAATGCAAACTACAAAGACAACAAACTAAGAACTGGTTTGAAAGATTTTGTTCCATGTAAACACAAGACTATTTTAGTACCCTTATATCATCAAGGGAAGGAAAATGTGTTTCCTTATTTCTGGAATAAGGTCTGGGGAAAAATACAGGTAACTGGATAACCTGGTTAATGTGAAACTCTGAAGTTACCATGGACAAAAATTTAGGGTGCAGCTGCAATAAAACCTTACCATAAAGGAAGGAGGTATGGAAGGGCTGTAACTTAGGTACAATACCCTTCTAGAAGAGACTAAAGAGAAATTCTCAATCATCTGCACAAAAATCTAATTTGATTAATTTATATGAAACAACTTGGTAACTGTATTCACAGTCCCTGTATGCAGTTATCAGGAATAAAGCAAGATTAGCTGCAGACAAGAGGCACTTCATCTCAGACTAGAACAGGAAGAAAGGAAATGAAAGTGATGGCTGGTCTTCCACTGCTGTGCCTTTCATTAGTTTTGTGTCTGTGGATACCTGCAATGCATGCATGAACTCCCCAACAAACAATACTTCCCAAAACCCCTTTGTTCACACTGTTCAGTTTCTGAGTGGCTTTGTACCTGGCTTGCATTTTGTCAGTAGCTCCTGTTGTTTCAGCTGTCTTAAAAAGCTTTTTTACTTCTTACATTTATCCTGAATGAAAGGTAGCTGTCATGTCCACACACTGCAGTGAAATTTCACTTAACCTCCATTGTAATACTGTAATACTGAAACATGAAAACTCCCTGTTCATCCATTCCTTTGAAAAAAATGTTCTTTTTCCTCTACTGCACAAAGTGGCATTTGAGGCTGATCCAGGAGCCAAAATCAGTAGTTTAAATTACAGAAATGACTGAAGGTAATAGAGGAAGCAAAACATATAGGCAACTGCACTTTAATAGCATAGATCTATTTGGAAGGTGCATCCAAGTGTAGTTGATAAATGGATTCCATTGAAGGTTCAGCACTCTACTGTGATCCAGTTCTCTACTAGAATCAATTTAGCCACATTCTCACTAGCCTTTTCTGAGACTCGGTGAAGTTACATATTGCATTTAGACTGTATTAAGGGCACTTAACATGTTAATGAGCTTTAAGGTGTTGATTATCACAAGTGCTAAGTGCCCTCTAAGCATCTTAAAGTTACACCATTTCAGATGAGGATTATCTTTAAAATGTGCTACCAGTTTGAGTTACCTTAACTTCATGCTGCATCACTGAGATAAAACAGTTTAGTCTTCCATTATCCCAGGAGGCACTGCTCCCAGGTAGACTACCTATTCTCCCAGACCCTTATACTTTGGATTGACAGTGGGGACAATCAAACAGCTGCAGGTGAGAGGGAAAAGGAGGAGAGGGAGGAAGGAGTGTGGGAAGAAGGATGGGGGAAGGAGAGAGAGAAAGCAAAGGAGGGGGCAGGGGTGGGTGGGAAGCTGCTGGGCAGTCTCTGTGATGGCTAGCAGGTGAATGGGAAGCCATGGGTCCCAGCAGGGTGGCATGGGCTGGAACTAGGTGTGCAGGGGTGGTGTGGGCTGGAACTGAGTGTCTGTGGGTGGGGGGTAAGGGGTGACTGCAGGGAGCCTGGGAGAAGGGAGGGAGGAAGAGACCTTTCATGTAGGCCCTAGAGCAGGAGAGAATCTTCCCTGACCTGGGCACAGTGCCAGCAGCCAGAGCAGGAAGCTGGGAGCCAGGGAAGAGTCCCATGACGGGGGCAGGGGGAGATAGCATGGGGTAGCAGGGAGGGCAGTCTGAGGAGCATGGGGCAGCAGGAGGGCAGTGGGGGAAGTGATCAAAGCAAGGTGGGGCAGCAAGGGAATGATCTGAGCAGCATGGGGGCAATCTAAGAGGGACAACATGGGGCAACTGGGGTGGCATCAGGGGGCACCTGCCTTCCTCTCCCCTTCTCTCTACCCCACTGGATTATCCTGCCACTGGTGAACCAGCAAGTGGGGCAGTCATGGAGCAATCTTGGCATCTCCTAGCTACATCCCTGCTCACCAACACTCCAGTGGCAGGTCAGAGTAATGCATGGTAAAGAAAATATTAATTCTTAATGGGTGACTGCTCACAGCATGTACTAACATTAATACCAACTAACATTCCTTATAGTTATCAGGTGTTAACTATAATATGTAACTACACCCTTTCACATATTACATGATGTGTATTCTTTATGTACTTTGATAGCCAATAGTTGTTTGTTTGTTTTTTAAGGCAACTTGCAAAAACTAGGGCATGACTTTTTTAAAACAATTAAAAGGAGATTGTGGAGACTCCTGTAAGGGTGTAGAAGACCTTAGTGTTCAGGACATGAAGGCAGTCCTGGGGGTGAAAAGGATTCTTTTCCCTATATGTAGTGAAAGCAGATGCCAAAACTAAAATGAAAATGGTGTCAGGCCTGGCTTTCACCAATCAACTTAAAAAAAAGGGCAGGAAGTCAGCTGGGGTCATAGGATCCCAGCAAGATAAGCATCCAATTTGCTCTTGAAGGTGTTCAATGTAGGTGCTTGAACCACCTCCGATGGCAGGCTGTTCCAGACCTTGGGGGCTCAGACAGTAAAGAAATTCTTCCTTATGTCCAGCCTGAAACGGTCTC